GCCCCGGCCCCCGCCGCCGCCGCCCGCGCGCCGCCCGAGAACGGGCACCCGCCCGGCGTCAGCGGCCGCACCAGCGGCCCCGTCGCCCAGCTGCTGCTGCCGCTGGCGCGGTGCCCGCTCGCAGACCCGACACCGCCGCCGGCCCCTCCGCCGCCGCCGGCCCCTCCGCCGCCGCCAGCCCCTCCTCCTCCTCCGCCGCCGCCGCCGCCGCCGGGGCCCCAGGCGTCGTAGCCGCCGTGCAGGCGCTGCACGAGCTTGCCGCGGCCGTCGACTGGCTGGGGCGCGGGCAGGCGGTAGGGCGCGAGGAGCGGGGTGCCGACGGGCTCCTGGGAGCGGATGTAGTTGAGCTCTGCCAGCACATGCTCCATCGTGGGCCTGCGCGGTTGTGAATGGGGAAACAGGAACACTGGGAGTTGATATCATGAGCAGTATTGTTGTTGGACGTGTGTGTGTGTGTGTGTGTGTGTTGTGTGCGTGTGTGGTAGGGAGGGACCCGACCTCTCGCCATGCGCGTGTGCGCATGCTCGTGCGTGTCTGTGAACGTTGGGGTGGTATATGCTCTCGCCTTGTTTACACAGCAACGCGGCCGCTCGCAAACCGCCACCTTCGCCCCTGCCGGCGCGCCCCGCAGGCCCGGCCGATACCCTGGAGCGCGATTGTGTTCGCACCTGCGGGTGGGCTTGGGGTCCCAGCACTTCATGGCCAGGCGCACATAGTCTTTTGGCGCATCATAGGGAAACTCCGGCCGCCTGTGGAGCTGCGTCACATGGTGCCCAAGCAAAGCCTGCGCGTGCGCAGCGTTGCACGGGTGCAACAAGCGGTGGGAAGGTGCAGGAGGGAGGGGACGGGGGCAGGCCGGGGCGCGCTGACGGCACGGGTGCCGGGAGGTGGCAGCAGGCTCTGGGGGGCGACTAGGGGCGGGCGTCGGATGCCGGCTGCGCAGGGCTAGTGCGAGGCGGTGGCGCACCCTGGGGATGTCTGCGAAGGGCTTCCCTCCGGTGTACAGCTCCCACCTGCGCAGCGATGATCATGTGATGGGGGACACGCGTGTGTGAGAGGGGCGGCGGGCAGTTGCATCACGCGTCGTGCGGGTGAACAAGCATGCGCGAGGTGTGGCCATCGACAGAGCTGCGCTGGTCGCACATTACGCAGGCCAATGGATCGGTGTCGCCTGAACCACTCGCGAGGAACTCCTGCAAGTTTGCGCCCTAACGCCGGCCCAGGCGGCGTCACTCACAGCACGATGCCAAAGGCGTACACATCAGCAGCCTTACTCAGGTACCCCTGCGGCCGCCACAGGGGTGTGATCCGGTCATTCTTGCGCGGCTCGGGGCGCGCAGCGATGTGCATCGATGTGCAACGATGTGCAACGATGTGCAACGATGTGCAACGATGTGCAGCGGTGTGCAACGATGTGCAACGGTGTGCAACGATGTGCAGCGGTGTGCAACGATGTGCAGCGATGTGCAACGATGTGCATAAAGGTCGCGCGTGCGCGGGAGCGCCGGGGCCCCGCCCAGACCGCCGTGCTGCTGCTGCTGCTGCCACCGCCTCTGCTGCTGCTACTGCTGCTGCTGCGCGTGTCGATTGCTGTTGACGGCAACTGAAGGAGCTGCAATCATGTCACCCATATGACCTCAGATGGGATTCCCCGCTGCTGAGTCCCCACCTCCACCTAATCTCCACACTGCAATGATGCAACCCCCAAACCACCCCTGCAAGCACCCCTCCTCCAGAACACGCCCGAGAGACAGACCCACACATGCATCACTCCCTGGGCATCACAACCCACACCCCACACAAACCCTACACAGTCATACACGCGCGTGCATGCTCACGTGCGCCCCCCCCCCCACACACACACGCACGCGCTCGTGCACGCGCACACACCCACCTTGACCAGGATCTCAGGGGCCATGTGGCTCATCGTGCCCTGAAGGATTGACCGAATGTGCAGGCGCCGCGCGTCAGACCAGGCACGCCGGGCTGCAAACCCAGGCGCAGAATTGGCACGCGTCGCCCAGCCGGTTCGACGTGTGCTCGCATCAGGGCATGACTGATCATGGACGCGGCGTGGTTGAGCCCAAGCAGGACACGACAAAACACAAAGCTCCACAGATCTCGGCGCCCCTTGTCCCTGCCCGTCCCACCTGGAATGCGTTGCTCATGTGCGTCTCAGTAAGCTCCATCTTCAGGCTCAGCCCGAAATCAGCCACCTTTGCCGTCGCCCCTCGGCCCTCCGCGCCGGCGCTCTTCAGCATCACGTTGCGCGCCTGGGGTGCGAGCGGCCGCGCCGCCGTTGGCAAGTGCATCCCGCCGACGCTTGAGGTCATGCGACGACCGAGACGCGCTTTTTCTCACATGCTCTTGCGTGCATGAAAACCCCGTCACTCACAAACCTGGGCGTGCGTGCAAACACACACACACACACACACACACACACACACACACACACACACACACACACTCTCTCTCTCTCTTGCGCGCGCATGCGCAAGGCCGAGAGAGAGTGTCCGCGCGCGAGCCCACGCGCGAGATCGTCCCGTGACGCCGCACCCTTTGCCCGCGGGCCCACCTTGAGATCAGCGTGCAGCACGTTGCGGCCGTGAAGGTGCACCATCGCGCTCGCCACGTCGATGGCCGTGTCCAGCACCGCCCTGTAGTTGACGTCCGCAAACGCGGGCCCCCCCCGCCCCCGAGCGCTCCCGGCGCCGCCGCCGCCGCCGCCGCCGCCGCCACCGCCGCCGCCGCCGCTGCGCGCGTGGCCCTGGGGCCAGTCGCCTGCCGGCGGCTCAGGGCCGCAGGCGGCGTTCTGCGCGGGGACCAAGAAGGCCCCGCCGTCCAGCGCCTCCCTGAGGCTGCCCCTGTCACAATATTCGAGCACGAGCCGCATCTCAAAGCTGTGCGCGTTGCCGTTGTGGCTGCTGCACCCGCTCTCGCCGTCCGGGCCGCTGCCGATGCCGCCGCCGCCTCCGCCGCCGGTGGGGTCGCGGGGGCTGCCGCTGCCCATGCGCAGGCGGAAGCTGCTGTTCTGCTGGCTGTCTCGCAGGGGCCGGATGTCATACGTGAATGTCTGCGGGGGTTGCGGCGCGGCCAGCAGGGGGTCGCAGGGTTGTCACCAGGGTCGCGAGTGGTTTGCCGGGACTTGAACCAACTGCCTGGTGAGCTGCGGGTGCCCCACGCTCGCACCTCTCTCTGTCTCTCTCACTCTCTCTATCTCTTACTCACACACACCCACACGCACACGCACACAGAGGAAACCCCTCTCTTGACAGGCGCACTCGCGACACGCACTCTCCCCGCACCTGCAGGATGTTGGGGTGGCTGAGCGCGCTGCTGATGGCGGCCTCCGTAACCGCCATCTTCTCGCGCTTCTCGGCGCCGCTCATCATGGCGGGCAGCAGCATCGTCTTGACGGCGACCACGCTGCCGCGCCACAGGCCCTTGTAGACCTTGCCAAACGTGCCCTCGCCCTGGAGGGTGGCCCGGTGTGGTCGTGTTCAAAGCCCGCGGGTGTGCTCAAAGCGTGGCAGGTGTGGAGGGCTCACGTCCCAACGGCCAGGTGCACGCGTAGAAGAAGCAGGGGGAGCGCCGCGCGGCAGCGGTGTGAGCAGGGGCGCAGCGACGGCGCGCATGCGCGAGGGGCGGCGCCCGCGGGGGCGTGGAGGGATCCGAAAAAAGTGCTGGTCATCCAGACCCGTCGTGCAGCATCGAATTCCCTGCTCTTGACGCCCAGCAGCCCGCCGCGGCCGGGCTCTGCTCCGCGCCGCACCGGCCACCCACCAGCAGCTCGCAGCACGTGATGTTGTCGGTGTCGCCTATGCTGACCTTGGCGCGCGACAGCTCGTGCCGCACCGCCTCGATCTTCGCCTCGTAGCTCAGGGAGGTGCGCTCCCTTGACACGCCCCGCGGCCCGAGGTCAAGCAGCGTGTGCCGCTCGTCCTCGTACGCGCCGCCGCCGCCGCCGCCGCTAGTGCCGCCGCCGCCGCCGCCGCTGTGCCTGGCGCCGCCGTCCGACCCCGTGCTGCCGCGGCCCGACCGCGCGCTCGCAGACTTCTGCAGCCGCCCCGGCCGCGGCGGCAGCGCCGCCGCCGCCGCGGCGGTGGCGTCGGGGGCGGAGCCGATGCGGCTGCCGATGGGCGTGTTCCAGGGCGTAGGGCTGGTCGACGGCGCGCCGCTGGTGCCGTTGCCCGAGTCCAGGCTGGCGGCGGCCTCGGCCTCGACGCGCGAGCGGTGGGTGCCGTGGGGGTCGAGGCAGGCGATGAGGCCGTTCATGCGGTACAGCAGCGCGTCGGCGCGCTCCTGCGGGGGGTTGTCCAGGTGCAGTGCAAGGGGCAGGGGAGGGAGGGCAGGGGATGCAGTGAGGACGGCAAGCGACGCAGCATACCGGCCGGCGCCGAGTCAGACAAGAGCAGAGGCGTTTGCGGGGGCCGACCGTCCAGACAACGCGGGCAGCGCGCGGCGCGGCGCGGGTGGTGGTCGAGCGGAAAGGGGGCCCGCTCGCCTTCTCCTCCTCGAGCCAGCGCGTGGTTCTCGCCAGCTTCTCCTTCTCCGCGGTAAGCTCCATGTTGAGGCGCTCGTACTGCTCCTTGAGGTCAGCCTCGGCCTTCGAGGTGGCAAGATG